GATAAAGCCTTCCGTTCTGCGAAGTGGAACAATCAGCCTGCAACTGAGCGCTATGCGAAGGCGTTCTCGACTATTTTTTAAATCCTCAAATGTTGTCCAAACAGCGTCAAACTCTGTATTTTTTTCAGAACGTGGGCGTGTTTTTACTTTACAGGAGACTTTATAGAGGACTAGGGGTGAATTCAGCGAAGGCTTTGCTCCAGGGCACTGAACGAGAACTGATTCCAGGACACAGAATGCACGAGCAACGCACACGGTCAGTTCGCGAGTGGCTCTCCAAGTTCTCGATTAGAGCCAATAGATTTTCAAACATGGGCCCCTTGACAATCACATTTTGGTTAATCCATCGATGCCTAATTTTGAAATTTTCGGTGCTAACTTAGTTGGGGGGGGGCACGCGGCGGCGCGGCAGTCTGCTCACCTGGGCTCTCTCGAGCGAGACAGTGTAAACTCGAACATTCCAGCTTTTCACGCATGTCAAGTGACTGCCCCCACCCCCCCCCCCTAGGCTGGCCCTGGCCCACGGATTCGAATGCCAGGCGGACGGCAAGCACTGCAGCGCCGCGCGTGGCCCCCCCAACGAGTTAGCACCGGAATCCTCTAATAGGGGACGCTTCCGCGGTTCTGCGATGGAACATTTGAATGTAAAAAATACCTGCGTACCACAGGGCGTGTGTATGCAAAATGTTCAAGACCTGTGGAGCGATGTCAGACATTTGCGAATCAAACGCATGTCGCTAGCGACTGCGGTTGTTGTCGCGGTCAGGGTGAATCGCTCAATTGGTTAGGTACCGCAGCGGGCAACGCCGGACGCAGCGAGGTCCGCTCGGTTCGGCAAAGTCTTGGAAATCGGCTTGTGAAACCGCTAGAGGCGATCATATAGGGAAAGCTGTATGAATCCTTGGATGTTAGTTTCTACAAAATTCGCGACTAGTATTGACTTCTGAAAGCTAGTCTCGGAACATCAACAAAATTGATGCACCAGTAATTTTGCCCCACCCTGTAGGTATTCGTGAATGCGCCTTTACCTCCTTTTTCAGAAATTGACGTGTGAAACGGCTGATTGCCATTGCGCGTCCTTTCGCTTCAATGCAATACTCTGCCAGACCATCCGTACATTTTTGAAGTGTTTTTAGAATGAATTAAGAACTGATATTGATTTGCGTAAGATAGAGGCATTCCACTTGTCTGTTGAAAACTTGAAGCGCGACCTTGCCGAGCTATTTCGGCACGTCAAGGCAGCTCGGCAATCAAAAGAATGCGGTCAGATCGTTGGGAGAAAAGTTTGACCACACAGTTGTACGGCGTTAGTGGCACGAGTTAAACGTATGCTAAAGATGCAAATTTCAGGCACTGATTACGGGGAACGGTTAACAAGGTTATAGAAAGCACTTGATGGTGCCAGTAGAAGCGAAAAAACAAAAACGCAAAAACGAGGATCCCTTTTTGGCCGTTGATTTCCGCTCACGTAAACAAGTAACTGATTCGTGTGGTGCACATGCTTCCTCGATGCGCTCCATCTTTATCGTTGTTCCAGTTGTTCCCAAGAATAAATCTGCGCCTATGGAAAAAGTCGTTCTCCTTTCAATCACTTATGGAGTGTTCATAGTTGGCGATCGTACGTGCGATTAGGCAATTAGACGAGTGGGCGAGTAGGCGATGAGGGTAGGATATGTATTGAGTGGTTGCTTCGCCCACTGAGCGATCGCCTAATCGCCTACTCGCCTGCTCGCCTACAACGCTCTATGGGCGGAGCAAACCAGTCAATTCGTATGTAGGTCTTCCACGCCTAGTCGCCTACTCGCCTACTCGCCTAATCGCACGTACGATCGCCAACTCTGAACGCTCCACTGGTTCACGGTCCGTTGCGCAGTTCCAACGAGGGGAGTCGTATGTTTTGATTGCTCGGAAGGGGGGTGGGGGTGTCGTATTGGGGTTGGTGAAGATATGTAAAAGGCTGGAGAGAGGAAGGGTTCGTTTTTGGTGGGCTTCTCTGATAGTTGTTGTGGAGATGGGAAAATGTAAGCATGAAATGGTTTCAACTAGAGAATAAGCCGCTTCACTTTACGACCTTCCCCCTTCCCCCGCTCGATTGGACGTGTGGCCGTTTTAAAGGGGAAAAAAGGGCGAAATTAGGCAGTGTCGACTAGACTCGCAATGAAACACTACAGAAAGAGGTAAGCGGTGGCGAGGATGAGTGTATTGGGGGACTCCTTTGAAGTTCACGGTGGCGATGAGGGGTCGTATCCGGACCCTTTGAAAAAGGGAGGTCGTAAAATTTTTTGGAATGGATTAAGGGACGATTGAACCTGGTTCGGAGCCTATGAAACACTGAGCCATGACTCGCACACTCCAACATTATCGCGCTTGTGCGATTGATCTGGCTCGGTGCCCCATCCCTCCTCTCCCTATCTTCCCCTCCTCTTCGCTCTCATTACCCCTCTCCTTTTTTCCCTATATAGGTAGGCTGCCTAAACAGGGCGAAAACACTCCTTTTTTTTCTTTGACTCATACTCCCTTTCAAAAAACGAGAAGAACGTCGGGTGCAGACCTTACACCACAAGTGACGACGGCTTCCACAAATTGTAAATGTTTTCCGCCAACGAAACGACTGGCTTGTTGTATTCTGATAGTTGCCACTAATTACAACTATCATTTACCAAAAATCAGCTATCACTATGAACCACTACTAACCAGATTTACTTGGAGGCCGTCGTCACTTGTGGTGTATGGTCTGCACCCGACGCTCTTCTCGTTTTTTGAAAGGGAGGGTAAATGATTAACCTAATCGTCAAATGATGTTTTTGGACGCTGTTCACCCTGCAAAACTCTCATAAGAAGCAGGGTTATGAACAAATATTAGCCTCAGGCAGGACTCGTACCCGCACCTCGCAAATGTGCTACAAACTACGCTCCGGGCACCGGTCGCTAACAACGCTTTTGAACAGCGTTGAGAAAGTGAGTTAGGCTGAAACGCTAGTGAGCGTTAAATTGTAGCGCTTTGCCCCGGAGGTCAATGTCAGACTTTGCGAATCATGACCGGTGATTGTTCGTACCTAGCCGCGGCGCGCGACTCGCCGATGACCGATTGACGCTTTCACAGCGTTTCAGGACTTAAATCACATCCCTCTATAAAATTATGCTCTTCAGAACGTGTTATTTTAGGCTTGATAGGGTGCCGCGCCACGGGTAGGCGCTAGCTAGTCGGTTCACTAGCGATTCAGGCAGCTCGCTTAAAGCAAAGTTGACACCTGCGCAAGCCTGAGGGCGGGAAGGGAATTCTTCTGACGATAAAAAAGGTTCAAAAGAAGGCGGAAAATGGCATTAGTGGGAGGCAGGGCGGGACCTCCTGAGGTGGCTGGACGGAACGCTGCGATTGGCAGAGAAAAAGATTGGGAACGCAGCGGATTCTGGCGATGGCTCACTCTTGGCGCTGCTTGGCGGGGGTATACGCCACACACAGGATGGGGGTCGCATCAGCCGCAAAATCAGTGGGCAAGTAGAGGCCCGGTTTCGGGCTGTTTCCAAACGGGTTTGTTCTCATAACCTTGCACACTGACCTCTACCTTTATTTCCGAAGAAGCTAACTTTTACATCGCAAATTCTGCCTTTTACACCGCGAGAGGTGCGGGTTCGAGTGTCGCCGAGGGCGAAAGTTGGTCAACAACCCAGGCAACACAGATTTGTTCTTGTGAGATTCTTCTCTTCTATAGTTATATTGCATACTTGAATAGTAGCAGGAATTAAGTCAAGGAAGAGAAATAGAGTCACTGCTTCTATCTCAGGGACCATTATCCCTTGAGGTCATCAGGCGAGATTGAGGCTGAACAAATAAAGATACAGAATTCGGCAGAACCGGTTGGAACAGATCAAACGCAGATGGCCTTATGGTTGCGGTTTTGCAGGATTGACGGGCGGCGGACTTGCAGCCACGGGCGCAAATCCAAATAGTTTCACGTCTCTCGGCTATTTTTCTCCGACTCTTATTTCTTGATGATAATGGTTACTGTATTTCAATCCTGACGGAATGATGACGAGCGACAATTGCACCCTCACAGCTATTGATTTACAAATCTCTTCACGAACACTGTTCGATACGAAATGATCCGGAAAAGGCATAAAGCGACACGAGCAATCATCCGTGGCAGCGACGAAAGGAACGGAGCGATCGACGGCGGCATGCACACGCCGCGCGGCGGCCGCGGACGCCGCGAAGCGCACGTCGTCATCGTAGCGAGCTATTCAACGTGTATCAAAAAAGGCCAAGGGACGACCATCAGAAGCGACGACGCGCTTCTGATGGCGACGTGTGGCAAGACCATCGTCGCCGACGGCAATTTGCATACCTTATTATCATATTTATTATCGGCATTCTTTACAAATTGTTGTTTTTCTTTTGATAAATAGATTTGTTTCAGCGGGTGGTGTGGTTTCGGTGAGGTTTTGAATTTAAATTTTTGTTTTTGTTTCAAAATCGTTGTTCATGTTGTTTTCAGGAGGATTTTGTTCAATTGTATCCTTGCTTTCGAAATAATAGCCCGGCCTTTTCATTTTAATAATTTAAATTTTTCAATGAAATATTGGGGAGAGCTGATTGACAGCTTACTGTGGGCCTTGACTGACAGCTCTGCGAGCTTTTTGCCGTCAGATCAAGACTTTTCCGGAACAGGATTTGCTATTTGCACCTGTTCTAGGACTGCTTGCCAGACCGGTCCGAAAGAAGGGCCGTGGCGACAACCTAGCCCGGCGATCGCAATCGTACGCCCACTTGGTGTCCTCATTCTTGCCCTCGAGAAACCGATTCCCTTTCCATACCTCGGATTGATCGCTCTATTTACATTCAGTTTAATAGGCCATTTCCCTTTGATCAAAACTCGAATTTCTTTGTTCGGATATCGAATCGTAACCTGTTTGGAGACCCAGCTACATACACTTTCCGGTTATATCAGCTGATATCGCACAGTGCTACACGACACATTTCTCACGTTTCTTTCGTGCAGATGTGGCTGTTCCTTTGGTTGAACGGTCTTCTGGCGGCTTCAGTCATAAATGGTCAATTTGATGAGTCTGCGCCATGCTTCTGTAAAATCGGCGAAGCGGTCGAATCGTGTCGTTGCGATGAGCCCAACATTGACCAACTAAATAACGTCGAAATTTATGACAAGCTTCAGAAACTTCTCAAACGGGATTTCTTCCGCTTCTATAGGGTGAGTCGACACTGTTTACTGTTGGTTTTGAATTTTTCTCATTTTCTTTGCCCATTTCTCTCATGTTTGATTGCTTTTCTTTCCTTCACGGGTGTAACGTGGTTCTCACGCCTCACTGGTGTTACGTCTGTGTGAAGGAAAATAGGTGAATATTTGCCTAAGGAGCCTGTTGAATAAAACGGATCGATTACGAAACCGCTAGATGCGATAAACCATTTATCGCTAGATTTCTCTGCTGCGAGGCATTAAGTGGCGTCAATGACAAATTTTTACGAGAGACAGGAATCTATGCCGTTTTCTTCGTGAATAACTTTTTGTTAAGACATTGAGGAAATGCAGGGACCATTAGGCCACGTTCATAGTTCGCGACTCGGGAGATTAGGATAGTAGGCGACAGGATATTAGGATAGTAGTAGAGTAGGAGATTGCGCTGATTGGATACGTATCGATTGAAATCGCTGGAGAGTAGTAGATTGGGCGACTTCAAGCGAATAGATCAATACATATCTAATCTTGTCAGCGCACTATCCTAATCTACTACTATCCTAATCTCCCGTCAATACATATGTTTTTCATTGTCGCGTACTATCCTAATCTCCGGAGTCGCGAACTATGAACGCGGCCTTAGGGCCGTGTCCTATTCTTCCCCTAGGCTAGGGAAACAAAAAATCCTTCAAGTTTTCTTTGTCTTTCTAACCATAATCACCTCAAAGACTGCATATTTGTAATGTATGTATGGGTGTAAAAGCAAAGAAGTGGTGAAAGTAAGAGAAGCATGTCGTTGAAAACAAATAAATTTTAAAGGTTCTTTTTTCTCCTAACGGTCCTAGGAAAATAGAGGGCGTGCTTTCATGCGTACGAACTTCAGAATTCACGTGCCTTCAAGATAGCGAACTGTACTTTTTATACAGTCGTGTTCGGCCTTTTTCGCGGGTCACGGAGAAACATGATGCATAGAAATGAAAGGAACCCGTTACATCACACTTCGCATTTTCCATCTATCACTGGTGATCACTGGAAATTTTCCAGCTTCCATAGAAAACCCGAAAAGGTAGGATAACGAATCATTAAAACGTTTGGAATATTACGTTCATACGTTCGCCATCACCAGCTTTTGAAGATTGAATTGAATTGAATGAAGTCTTCTTCATTCAAGTGGCGCGTGTTTTTGCAATTTAAATTTCTGCGAAGTAGCGCAGTGACTAAATGTTGCATTCTCGCATCGAATCGCTTCGTGGCCATCCAATCTTTCCAGTCCTTGCTCGATTAGACGGCATCTGATCATGTTCACTGCTTCATCACATTATGATTTATTGGGGTGTGGTTCACTAGGACAGAATGAGACTTTTTCGAGTTTCGCAGTGCGAAACACTTTTCGCTGCGGAATCTCGGGTCCACTGATTTTTCGCTGCGGGAACCTCGGGTCCACTGATGATCAGAGGTGGACCTGAGGTTCCCGCAGCGAAAAATGTTTCGCGCTGCGAAACGCGAAAAATTCGCTTCTGTCTTAGTGAACCAAACCCATTTGATTGTAGTGTTGTGGCCTAGTGAATTTCGAGTTCTGAAGGCGCTCAAAAACGAAGTATCGCTGTTTCTTGTCAAGTAGAAGTAGGGCTGGAAGATATCAGTCACTTTAATGAATTATTTCAACGTACCAGCGGTTTCAAAATTGCTTCCCTTGTGCAGCATTACCCGCATCGCAACGTGAAACAAGCGGATCCTTTCAAAAATTACATTCTATTTTTCGTAAATAAATGCACACTGCTGTGAATAGTGCCATTAAAAACAATCGCCGAAAATTCTTTTCCTCATCGCATAGCAGTGATGTATCGCTAGGAGTTTTTAGTATTCGGCATCGGAGTCATCATATACTCGTAGCTGTCTTACGAATTGTCCTTAATCGACATTGCATTTGTAGCATATTTAGTCAGAAAAAGTGGGGAACATACAGCGTTCGTAAAACCTTCACGATCCGTTATGTTTGGTTTTGCTCTCGTAATCCATGCATATAGTTGTACAAGTATTTATTGTTAACCAGTTTAGCTCCGCCCGCTATTACGCGCCTGACGCGGTAGGTTCCGGCGAAACTGGACAGCTTTGTTAAAGTGAAATCAATAGAACGAAGCGGGCGGGCTGGTAGTTTTTGGTGATTAACGGATGGTGATTAAGACTTTCGGCTTGTTCTGCTTCAAATTCCACCCATAACTTGAAATTTTTGTGAAAAAACGCTTTCAAAGCGTTTCTCCCCTGGGCACTGTTCAAACAGACATTGAAAGGGCGCTAGAGGAACAATTGATTTTCGTTCTTTTCAATATTCGAAATCGTGATAGACCCTTTATGGCATTCGTGAACGCCAGGGATAGAGAGTAAAGCTGCGGAGCGCAATGGGAGAAAAGGCACGTGGTGGGTTACCACAATTCTAAAAGATTTTCCGAATAGGAGGTTGTGAATGAATGTGATGATAAATGTTTAGGAGGTCCAAACTAATTCACTGTAGTCAGGCTTTCTTTCTAACACCTGAACTGAAATGACTACGATCTATCTGAATGATTTATACGAAATAATAAGGTTATCTGGTCAAAGTTTTTTTTGTCGGAAATCTAAGAAATGAGAGTTGTGGAGTAGTAGCACCCATCACGGAAGTCACGGTCGTGGGGTTTTTCGCCACACTAGGAAAACGGTCTGAAGTGTATGGAGGTGGGGGAGGGCAAAAAAAAAGACATTTTGCCTATAGCAGACATCAATTGCAAAGGGCCACCAGTAATGGAAGTGTTACAGCAAATATACCTGAAATTTCCTTCCATAAGTAGAAACAGTTCCTTCCCCGCTCTCACCGTCTGCAGAACATGTATGGCCGGTGTGTCTCAGGACATCTGTCAACCGTGAGCCTTGGCGGTTCAGCGTTTTGTAGTGATGTCTGGGAGCTCTCACAAGTGCACACTATCACAGCATCTCCTCTTTCTTTATCTCCTTCAAAAGGCTTAGTCCCAATAAGACACAAAGTGTGTGCTTTTCCAGCTACGCTCTCACCCTTTGGTTGACAGAAGCCTTGTAACCCCGGTGTCAGACTTTGCGAATGGAGGGAATCGGTCTGACACGGGCCTATGACGTCATCTGCCGTAGAGCTCAAGAAGGCCCACCTTATTCGCTCCAGCCCGGAGCAGCTACCTTATTTCTTCAATAAATTGAGTGGCGGGACAGTTTCTCAGGGACAGTAGTTCTAACCACCCCAAACCCGTTCCTACCTGCGCTCCAGAGAGGATAAGATTGTGATGAGGCAGATCCGTCGAGGACCTCGTGGAGCTTGAACCTTGCACCATGTTCCCATAGCGAATTTCTCCGTTGTCGTGAGTGTAGAAGGGCACGGAACTTCTCTCATAGGTGGTAATGTGCTCTCGGGAGCACACGATTTGAATTTGGCAAAGCTGAATCAATTTCTTTCCAAATGTGATGGAAAATGTCTCCCCAGGGCCTTAATGTTGTTGTCTTACCCTTTATGACGACTGAACGTTATCATTAGCATATGAGTTATTTTGCTTCGTTCAGGTCAACATGGACAAACCATGTCCCTTTTGGGCGGATGAGAGGCAGTGCGGATCGAGTCAATGTGGTATCGCATTCTGCGACGATGAAGTGCCGGCCGGCTTACGACGGCCGGCCGTTGTGACAACGGTGCGTCTGCCTGGCTACGAAATCACCGTGTCCGACAGTAATCACACGGATGATTCATCATCACAACGTCGTCGAAACCACACCACCCGCAACATCGTCAGCACTTCGCCGCTTCAGGATTGCTCGAGCGCCGGACATGAAAGCAATAAATTCGATCCTATGGATAGAAGTCTCGATGAGGGCTATCCTGAGCAACTTCGAGAAATGGATATACATGATGATCAGGAGAATAAGTTTTGCGAAGTTGATGGTGGGTTTCATACGTAATTTTTTCGTTTAAGTTTCTCATTGTTTATTGTGCGAACTGACATTTTTGAGCGATTTTTATGTGATATTTCTTATTTTTGCTAATGTTTTCACCCGAGCCTTACGGGGGCCGTTTTTTCGCATTAATTTTTATCCACATTTAGAAATGGCCAAGTAATTGACCGCGGTGGCGCTTTGGCGGATTCCTTCGTGTAATCTTTGAAGTTCCAGTGTGCAATAGGGCGCCACAGTTCGCCATCCGTTCGTAGCGATCGCAATGATCGCAAGCATTAACTTTTTCATTAGATATGTATCGATCGTTGACTTGCAATGGTGGGCTCCAAAATCGCAAGCAGTGGCCGCCACCTAATTGTCACATTGCGAATGGTGCTCAAGCGCTGTCGAATGTTTCGCTGCAGTGCCTTTAGTTAAGGTTAGGTAAAAACCTTGTGCAGTGTCAATTTCGTTCGCTGACCGACGTTCATGGCTATTCTTTTGAGATCTGATCTAGCCTCTCCTGTTGGGGCGATAGTAGTGATATCGCAGAAATCTCAACAGGCTCATATTTTAATCACGCATATTTGGTTATGGGCGGCAGTCGTGTAGTGGCAAGTGGCACGCTTACCATTCGCGGGGTCCGGGGCTCAAATCATGGGTCGCGCATCGTCTAAACCCTAAACACAGGCCTTCGGTCATCTGGGGCAGGGTATTGGTACCAGGGCTTGTCTGGGAGGATAAAAACACTGACTTGTACATCGGCTGGCCCCCGCAAGTCATTGTATAGGCCACATCGCATTCAAACGCCACTACGAATGTACAAATGGAAGTAGAATGCGTGCCGCATCCCAAAAGGGATTGATCAACGGCAAATGCTTTATCCTTTATATTATATACTTGAAATTACTATCTTTCTCGGTCAGGAGCGTAATGTCATTGATAATTATACGCTTTCTTTCATTTCAGATGAAGACTCTTCTGATAAAAATGGCCCCCAAAAAAAAATTATGTTGATTTATCGAAGAACCCTGAGAGGTACACGGGGTACAAGGGAGATTCAGCCATCCGTGTATGGAAAAGCATTTATCAAGAGAATTGTTTCAAGTAAGTCACATTGTGGTTTTACATGACTGTTGTCAAGTTTTGAAAAAGGTTATGTTCCAGCTCATATCCGATTAAATCCTGGAACATCGTTATACCTTTTTTTAGGCCCGACATGAAGTTCGACAAAAACTTCCTGATGCATCCTGACAATTTTGGTATGTTTCCTTACACAAGTCGTCTTTTTTCATGTTTACTTTTTTTGGGCTCACGAAAATTACAATCTAATTCATGTTGATATGTTAGTGTAAATGCTCATTATTCATCCGATACCCGATAATTTCTTTCTTTTTACAAATTAGTGTTTGCAGAAGGTATGTTATCAAGACATTTTGGATTAACGCTCAGTGTAAAAATAGTGGGTTTGCGTGGAAATTGTGTGTTTCTTTGTGTTGTCCTGTCTTTCAAAGCTTTTTGGAAGTCTCACGGTCTGTCACATTTTTCCTTTTACTATTTAAAAAAATATGGGAATTTCCCTCCCATGAGGCTCAGTGCCCAAAAATTTGAGTGTCCTCTTTTGAACTTCGCCGTCACTTTCACTGCAGCGACGTTGCTTTTCGCGGTTTTTTTACCCTGCTCCTTACGTTGATGAAGTTATTCAATGCTCGCTTCCTCCTCAACTTCTTTTTCGTTTTACTTTTTCTTTAAATCTCATCGAGGCATCTCGAATCTCGGTTGAATGTTTTTTACGAGTTCTTTGAAATGTCTGGATAGCAGGAACTCAATTAATCTGTGTAATCATCTGTAGCTAGTCTGGGTATTCGCTGTACGGAAACTGTGTCTTCCGTAGTCTGTCGCGGGCAAAATTTTGGGTGTTATGTCTGTTATGATTGCCGCTGTGTAGCGGTGTATAAATAAATTGCAGATCTTGTGACTTCAAATGGAACGTAAATGTAGTCTTATTTCAAAACTTTTACGTTATTTCAGTAAATTCCGGCAGGTTAAAATTTAGAAGTTCTCACAGCGGTCCCATTCGGTGATTTCCACTGATCAAATACTATTCTTCCTATTATGTTCTCACCCTCGTTGGAACTGGGAGTTCATCTTCTTTGATTGCTTACTCAACAGATATTTTTTAGGGTTGTGCTTGGAGAAGAGAGTTTTCTATAGACTCATATCGGGGTTCCATTCTGCGATCACAATCTCAATAGCCGCGTATAACTACAAACCCGGTAAGTGGTATGTTATGTTTTGTCTAGGATGTGAAGTTATTTTTCAATTACAGCTCCCGCTGGATTTGGAGTAGGAACATGGTTCCGCAATACCGAGATGTTCGCGGGAAGATTTGGGACGAAATGGAGCTGGGAAGGGACCTCAGCGGTACGTAAAAATATATTCATTTTTGTTCAAATTAGTTACAGAATTTGTTTTGTCTCACATCTGTCAGTCTCACATCGTCAACATGTAGGGTCTTGATTAGAGTGTGTGATTTCATAGAACCTTTCTCGAAAGAATAGGAATGTTTTTGCTCTGTTGAGAGGGGTCTCTGTACATGTAATGAATATGAGGTTAACATAATTATTTTACAGGTTAAAGAATGTATATTTTGTGTTCCTGCTAGAGTTGCGTGCTTTACTGAAAGTAGGACCTTATCTTCAACACGAGCTATTTTACACAGGAAATGAGCAGGTAATTCAATATAATAATATGGAATTAGGTTCTTTGCAACTCTGACCGATGGATATTAAAGACTTTTTTTACCGTTTTCGAGTGCAAGTGTGGAACGATTAGAGGACCAGACATCATTTGAGATAACGTTGCCAACATTCGATGCTTTTTTCACGATCCATCAATCAAAAGCAGAAAAGATAGTTTTGAAGTCTCACTCATAGTTATATTTGAGCGCCCCCTTAGAATTTGTTGCTTGGAAACCATCGATCTGGACCCTTTCCCACTTTTTTGTGATTTTTTCATTGAAATGTTCATTCTCTCCTTTTCAATCAAGCGAAAGGTTTTTTTTTTCAGGAAGACATAGAAACCCGTGTTGCGATCGATGAGTTGCTAGACATAATTCGACAAGTTTCCCGACCAATTTGATGAACATGAACTGTTTACGGTGCGGTGCATTAGTTTTTAGTTCGGAGCGGTTCTCTTTTTTTCTTCTCTTCAACAAATATGTACTTTTTAGGGTGTTGAAGCGCATGCTCGCGAACTGCGGGAGGAATTTAGATCGCATTTCCTCAATATTTCACGAATAATGGACTGCGTTGGTTGCGATAAATGCCGACTGTGGGGAAAAGTGGGTTTCTCCTATTTGTGAGGCAGTTTCATTGCTTTGAAGTGCCGCTAGCGCTTTAACATTCAATTATTCCGATAATGGAGCTTCAATCGTCAATTTTTTTTGTATTTTCATGACAAATCCTATATTTAGGTTCAAATTCATGGCATGGGTACCGCATTGAAAATTCTTTTCTCAGATCTCCCACATTCTCATTATAGAACAAATTCAGAAGGATCGACAATCAGTGCTCCTTTCCAATTAACTCGGTCAGTTTTCTAGTATTCAATTGTGAGCTCAGCCATTCGGTTATGAAATTTGAGCTTTTTTGATAATTTGTGAACGAGACTTATTTGACGCGGAGTGAACGGTATGAGGGGAATTCGGTATAAAGCGCTCACACCCCTGTAACTGCCTTGCACTTCGTTTGGGCAGTTGCGTGTGGAGATGATCGTAAATCTGGTAATATGCGACCGCACGATAGATACGTATCGGCTCCTCACTCGAAATGCGGAACGTCGCCAAGTATGACCGCATCCTCAGGTCGGCATAAAATCATATCAGTGATTGTTGACGTTGTTTCCTGAGGTGTCATTGGATGAACCTTAAGAGCGAAAACTCCAATGAGAATTAAGATTTTGTTAGTTTTTTTTAAAAAGTACGAGGCGACATGTACGAATCTGTTGTCCCTCTTTTATGAACTTTTGGCGTGGGGGAGTAAGGAAGAAGCGCCTAATTACTTCTGGATCTGAAACCGGACCCGCTGTCGACAAAAAGCCTAAGTAGTAGAATGACAAGGTTTTAGCAACTTACTTGACGGGAAATCGTATCTGAGCTTATCGTTTCTCCTCTGGCCGTCGTCTGTTGACTGTGCATAGCGGTGCATTTGCTCACGTCATACCACCTTTTCGAAAACTCGCCAAAATCTCAGTTTTGGAGGGGAAAACTGGCCAAAATCTCAATTTTTGGAGCCACTCCAACGCCTTTATCACGAATATGATTCTAATTCGTGGCAAGGAATTGCTCAAACGCCACAGTTTTTCTGTTGCTCAATAGACCTTGTTTACGTACACATGAGCCACTACAACAAGTGAGCAACTGTTTCTCAAAACGATTAATGGTCTGAACGCCCCTTCCCCTCCCCGCTTTTCCACGGATATGACAGAACGGAACGAGGTCGAGCCTGGACTGCCGAAGAGGAGTTAAAGCTTAGATGTGTAAGTGTAAAAGTTCAGTTTCGTGCGGGAAAGTATCACAACCGATGTTCTTTGAACAGGGTCATCCGGTCATTTTAAGCATTTCGTTTTTTTCCCTAGCGTTCATGCCAGCTAGGTTTTGCTATATCCTGTTACTCTAAACTTACCAGGCGTCATGTTTGAGACTTCGCCTGCCTCTGGCATTGGCTTTTTTCCATTTTATCATGCGTCATTTTAAGGAATGAAGTGGTTTCTTTGTTCCAAAGTCTTGGAAGATACTCGTCAAGCATAAAAGAGATAGATGAATTCCGGAAAGAAATGCTGGTTGGATATCGTGGTATAGATGAGTTATGATTTCGCATTCTCAGCTTTAAAGATTCGTTCCTTGCTTGTAAGAGACCATTGTTGGTCTTGCAGTTTTTTCATTTGTCATTGCCTTTTCCTTCTTAGCGAATCTTGCGATTTTTTAGATAGGTTTTAGTTTTGTTAATTTATTCGAATCAGGTTTCGGCTTGCTTAGGGTAATATAGTTTTTGGAATACCGATTTCTTCTTTTCTCGAAGAATAATGATTCTTCGCCAATGTGTATATGTTGTTTGCGTTGACTTTATGGGTTATTCTGAATCACTCATTCTTTCTTCTCATTACTTTCTTCCAAATGCGTTAATCATTTACATTAAAGTTATTAATATCACTGTGATATTTGTATCTAATCATTCTGAGACGAGTGATTTGTGTTATTAAAAATTGAATTATGTGCAATTGATTGGTGCGTTTGTACACAATAAATACAGTTTTATTTGTTTATTTTTTGTCTCACGATCAGTGTTGTTCGATTTGATAAACGCAGTCATGGGTGGGACATTGTTTAACCTTAGAATCATGGTGGGTAAAACGTTAGGAGCGCCTTGCTTGAATGTGAATATCTGCTAGTGCAATGAGGATGGCGGTGCAGTGATTTCACCAAATTCTACGACCCATCACTGGGCCCAGTGGGGTCTTGCTAACGAGCCATGTTGAGGGCCGCATCGTAATCCCGGGTTTCTCTCTCTACCCCCTCTCAAGGCTTTTGGGGAGTCGGCGACGGCAAGCGAGGTGTGTATGGTCATGGTTGAACATCACTGCTGAGCCCCGGCTAGCCAACGCCGCCCACCCTCCTTTGATACTGTGACCTGGGCCATACTCCTTCACAGTGGACGTGGAAGCCGACATGGTTGACTTTCTGAGGCTGAAGATCTCGTAGTACGCGAATGAAACAGGGCAGAATTCCGCTGAATCTCGCTGTTCCTTGTGCAGATTCTTCGAAACGAATATGCTATAGAAGAATTTGCAGATGGTTTTGGGCAAGGTCAAGCGTGCGTTGAGGAATCCTCGACACGTCACAGGGGGGGGGTCGTATTTGGCCCGCTGGAAGGAAGGGATCGGGCCGGATCGATGCAGTAGGATCATCACTGTCGGAGGACAAACATCAAGGAGTGATCGATGCTGTGCAAGCTTGGCCAGAGGATTTCCAATAACAATGTTATTCCGCTCACATAAAATTTTCGTGGTTAAGGGGTCCGCGTAGTAATTCTAGCTACCTCAGTGATTTATCACGACAAGTTGAAGAATCCGAAATTCGCACGTTTTCCGGATATTTTATCTTTCAAATGAGTCCACCAATCTGAAGGGATGTGAAGCACACGGCGCATCCCAGAGTGGGCCCAGTTGGTTGCGCGCGCTTCAACTACGGCTCTCTGGAGAAAAATCTCAATTCAGGAAAAATCAAGAGGATTCTGAAAGGGTCCGTGTGAAATTACAGGGAGGAGTCCACTATTCAACAAGAAATGCAGTCTTCAGCGTCAAATTCATAAGCATGTAATCGTTAAAGTTGAGAACGCAAACAATTTTACACTTTTGGAAAGAGAAAAGGAAATAGAAAATTCCGAATCTGCTCCCACTTTAGTATATAATCGCCCCTGAAAGGAGCTATAGTCGTTGAAATAGTGCCAATGCAGCGAAAAAGTACCTTTCGGCGGTACTCGGGCAAAAATCCTCAACGTGGCCATTTTTTAAATAGTGGACGTATTTAGCAGTTCTAGTAACCGTTGAATAGAGCAAATCTTCTAGTTTATGATGACGTATTAACTTTTCAGATTGATGAGTTTGAACGGAGTTATGGCTTTGGAAAGCGTAAAAACTCGCACTCATCACGAATTTTCCTCGTTAATTTTGCAAAAATCCTCAACGTGGCCATTTTTTAAGTACTGGAACGTATGAATTCGCTCAAAAAGCTACCAAATAGAGC